AGTGAAGGACAGGAAGGCCTGGCATGATATGGTTCATGGGGTCACGAAGAGTCGGACATGAGTTAACGACTGAACAACAATGGTTAAAAACTTACTAGAAAAAGTGGCCTGGCAAGCTTCTTGAACTAGAAGCAAAAATCAGGCATGAAGTTTTTCACAGGAAGGAAATGAATATTATCATAAACTTGTTTTTCCAGAAAAAGCAATTTCATCAAAATTGGATAAATGCAGTAAAATTCTACTCTGTTCAATGCAATAATTAAATCTTATAATTAAATATGATAAAAATTGAGTAATACTAAAACAACCTTGAAACGTGCTTTTTCTTTAACAATGTTTTGATCCAATTCCTCCAGTTTTGTTTTGGCTTCATCATAAGTCAATTCAGCAGCATAAAGATCTTTATTGACTTTTTTTAAATGCTCTTCCAGCCTACGAATATTTTTATGCAAAACCTGAATTTCTGATTGGTATCCCACTTTTCTTCTTGCACTGTTAAAACAAATTTAAAAACTGCTTACAATATTAGCACTTTTTCAGTAGTTTAGAAAGGCTGGATATTTTTTATGCTTTTATGAAGAAATGCCGCATTTTGCTTCCTCTTTTATAATCAGGAGTTTACTGACACAACATACGTTTATTTTTTAAAAAATATATTTACTGAGTAAACAAAGACAGTAAAACAGTGGTTATGTATTATAAATGTAAATACATTATTTGTTGTGGAGAAACTTAGAACCTTCATCTTGAAATGCTAATCAGGCTGGATATGATTATTACCTGGATGGGAGAGCTGTAGGTTAGAAAGTTGAAAAAGTTGAAAAAACATCCTAAAAATTTTGGTATTTTTGTCAAGAAAACCATTTGGATGTGAACATGAAATCACTAGGAATTGTGAGGTGTTTGCCTGTTATATCAGTATGGACTAAAAAGCTGGCAGAGCACACATATAGCTGAGAGATGTAGTATGGTGCAGCGATTAAGGTGCTAGACTTAACCAGATTAAGAGCTAGCCCTCAGCCAGGGAAGCTCACTAGGTGACTTTGAGTCAGTCATTCCCTCTCAATCCAACTTACCTCACAGTGTTGTTGTGAGGAAAAATAGGAAGACGGAATGCTGCATATGCTGCCTTTTGCTCCTAGCAGGATATCAATCAGATAAATAAACAAACAGCTTGCCACTGTTCAGGTAGCATTAAAAACTCTGTATGTATGTATTAAAAGTGTACAAAATGTCCACCAAGTTTCAAATTTATAATTAAAATATTAATTTTAGTTTGAGTTTATCCATTACAGCTTCATCTTTTCTATCTCCCTTCCTTAATAGCCTCCAGAGTCAGTTGGAGTCAGGTAGCGTCCAAATTTAAACAAACAAACAAACAAACGCAGCCATACATTCTAGTAGCGTGATCCTGCTGATTACACTGACTCATTTCATGTTAAGCCATATGAGGTTATTGGATTTTTCTCTTACTGTAATGTTTGATTCTAGCCATAATGGTTTGTAAATTCAATCAATCAATCAATCAATCAATCAATCAATCAAAATGTATTTATGGTCCAAGACCAAACAATAAAAGACCAGCATACAATACAGTAACTATAAAAAAGAATTTTAAAAATTGCAAGAAAATCCTAAAGCAGTTAGCAGCTAACAATTAATAACATGAGGAAGGAACCAGATGGTTTCTGACAGCTATAGCTATTGATAAGAATTTTGTACCCTTCTTAGAGATTTCTGAAGAGCAGTCACCCAGGAGAAGGGTGATAGTCTCCTGGTTGCAGTGGCAATTAGAGCTGTTAACAATTGGAAGTATTAAGCTTGATCACCATTGGGTGTACAGTGGACATTTTAATAGCACGTCAGACAGATTCTACCTCTGAGCCTGAACAGAAATAATTTCGGCTTCCGTATGGGAGGCTTATTAGTTGAGCTGTTGTCCTAATAGGTGGTGCTCCAGTTCGGGCCAAAATAGTCTTCTATGTGGAGCATATAAGATGTTAAAGAAATATTTAGGGATAGTCCAGGGAGGAAAGATTGTGCTATAAAAGGCGCTATTATTTTGGATATCTAAGACCCAAATCCTCTGCTTTAGTTCAGCCAGGGTTTTTTTCAAGTCCCAAAGCAGTGCTGACAGGGTGGGACCACAATATGCCCTGTCATTAATTTGTCTTCTTAGTTGGAAGAGAACCTATTCAGCAAGGTAAGATGGACTAAGGAAGTTCCCTAATAGACTTGCTTCAGGCAGAATCTAAGACCACTAAGTCTTAATTGGGCCCCAAGGGAAATCCAGCCTAATTCTAATCATCTTAGAGCACTGGAAGTTGAATAAGGAAGTTGTAAGTAACATTTTCAAGAACTTTGATTGGATTGCTTCTAAACTAGGAGACTCCTTATCAATATATAACTGAGCACCATATAGCATCAAACCCAAAACTTTGGCTTTAATTAGTTTAATAGCTGCTGGGACATAATTGTTATGGACAAAATGTAGCAATTGCAAGGGATATTTTTTGGGCTTTTGTTAGAAGCTCTCTTGTTTGAGTAGACCAGCAGGTAGAAGATTGAAAATAGACACCTATATATTTAAAGGATTTCACCTGTTTGATGTTTTTGCTGTTGATCGTCCATCTAATTGGGGCCTTAAAGCATTTCCTAGAGAATGGCAGTACTTTTGTTTTGGAGTAGTGATAGAGCTTTAAGGCATCTTCAGAGGCCTACTTGGGTTAGACATTATGGCTGCAACATCAGCATAAAGGAGAATAAAAATGGGGCAGTGGGCAAGGGAGGGAGAATAGAATTCTGGTTTAGCAAACATCTCAACAATATTGTTAATGTAAAAGTTGAATAATACTGGGGCGAGGATACAGCCTTGCTTTACACCTTTGCTGGTAAAAATGGATTTAGTTAAATCACCAAGGATATTACCCTTTACTTGAGTGGTTAGGCCAAGGTGTAATAGCATTATTAGCTAGTTTAATAGCAAGATGGTAGCTAGTTTCCTCCAGAGTTGATCTCACAGAATAGTATCAAACCATGATTTATGGCTTAACATTATGCATTAATCCACCACCATAGCATTTTCAGCAAAGTATGGTTAAAACAAGCCATGTCTCAGGAAAATATATGAACTCACTATTGACTAACTTCACAAAACATACTGATGTGTAACTCTGTTTTGATAATTTTATCTTTAATAATGGTTTCCACTAATTTATTCAGAATAGGCATTCCGCTCACATGTCTGTATTTTCCCGAATTTCTTCCATATAATTTTTAAAAAGTTGGTATTACGCTGTCTCCTTTTCAAGTATTACACTATCTCCTCTGGTATAGAAGCAAATCTTGGGAATATTTTTGTTAGATAATGGTCTAACAAATTTGTTGCTCTCTTAAGATTTCTAGTTTGACACTTCGATGTGCAAAGTGGCACCAATTTTAATACTAGATTACCATGTCCCACTTGTTCTCTTCCACCATAATTCCCAATATATCTGTACATTCCTCTAAAATCTAATGGCGCCATTTTTCCTACCTTGTTCTATGTTTCGTCTATTAAGATATAAATACTATACATATTATCCCTCTTCAAATGTCTTTCACACTTATATGTCTGACTTGTACCTTCACTGTATGCCTATGTCTGACTTGTATTTTTCTGTATATCATATTTGGCCTAATTTATTCTTGACTAGAATGTATATATTCCATCATTTAAATACTCCGTTTCTTTTGCAATCTGATGTGTGCAGTTAAAAAACATTTTTTAAAACTGTGGTATGAGTAAGTTTCCAGGGAAATTTACCAAGACATGTTTAGCTGCTATCTTATTTTAACAAACACACATACTACACACATACATACAAATACACACACTGAGAGTTTAAGCCAAAATACTGAACCTAAATGGATATATTAAATGTAGCTTAAAGAAATATTAGCATTAATTAGTGAGTGGAAACCCCTTATGGACTTTTTACTGAAAAAAGAAAAAAATGAACTGATGATTTATGGATTTGATGCTTAGAAAGGACAGGTTATGGAAAGAAGGAAACTCTGATGTTAGAGAGTAAAATATAAATATATTTATAATGTTAAGAAGATCAGAAAAATCTTTATTATTCTTTTTTTCTTTTTCTTCTTTTCTCTCTCTTG